GGGAATTGGTTGGTAGGTTAAGAAAAAACAGGGACAAAACAGATCAAGGATATGATAAACTTGTGTTTGTATAACACAACAATCTACAAAGAAAAAAGTTGTAACTCATACTAAAAGGTGTCTGTTGCCCAAAATGTACAAATTCAAAAATACAGCTGAAAACCAGCAAAAAAAGCTCTTTAAATGTAAAGAAATGGGTTTTATGACTGATCCAAAGAGTTAAGCAATTTCTTCTCAACTCCTTGATACATGAACAGAAGAGCCAGCTATGTCTTTAAAACCCAACAACCCAATACCAACTATTGCTAGGTAAAAAGAAGAATTTCAAGAATTCTTCAATTTGATTTTTACCAAAAATCAAACATTGGAAACATAGATTACTCATAGCATTAAATAAACACACACTTTCAATTAACACCACAGGATGGGTTAAGAGAAGTGTTCAAGCATAGAGCCTGAAGTATACTTGAGGCTTGTTACTTGCATAAAAGTGTATTTTCCTCTCAACTTTCTAAGAGACTTATTAATAGAAATAGATAATAAATATATATGTATATAGAAAGGAAAGAAAAGAAATATAACTTCTTCGATCTCACAATGGAGAACTAAACTCTCTGTATTTAACCAATCCCCTTGGGGAACAGTGGGCTCCAAGCAGAATGCCCAGACAGATAGACATAGAAATATAGATAGATAGATAGATAGATAGATAGATAGATAGATAGATAGATAGATAGATAGATAGATAGATAGATAGATAGATAGATAGATAGATAGATAGATAGATAGATAGATAGATAGATAGATAGATAGATAGATAGATAGATAGATAGATAGACATAGAAATATAGATAGATAGATAGATACTCTTTCTCCATGTTTTTCATTCAGAACCCTCCCCATCACCTCCCCCCTTTTCCCACCGTCGTTGTTTCTCAACTTCTCTTGAGTCCAATGTTTTGCCTTTGTTTTTTTAATTATACCTGCATGTTATGATACCAAGTAAAAATATATCACTACCATGTCGTCTTTTCCCTCATCCTAAAACCTCATGTTATGGACCCGCCTCAAAGGTGCCGCTACTTTTTTTGCCCCTCTTTGCTTTTCTAGCGATTTCCATCTCAGTATGTAAACATAGATAAACGCACCCATATTTTTAAAGTCAAAACGAAAATCAGCTTCAGAACTTACAATGTGGTGGCATGCAGTGTTATCCCACTTAGACTATGGAAACATCTCAATGACGGACTATTCAAAATGTCCAAACACATAATTTTTCTATTGTGCACCTACACCCTCTGACCTCAGAATTATTTAATGAGTAGGTCCTCAGGAGACCATCTGTGTCTGTGTGTGTGCACACTGTACAGTACTTTGGAAACCTAATCTGGTGTGGGGTGATAGAAGAGACCCACATTGCTCCTTATACATCAAGCCTTCAACTTCATATCCGAAAACGATAACAGTACTCTCTCTCTGACATTCACACACAAAAACACATACACATGCACACATAAACATGGGGAGCTACAAAAACCCAGCAGGCCATGAGAGGATATGGAATATTATTTCCCTCTCCTTGTCTCTTTTATTCATTACCAGTGTTGAAAAGCCAAGAGTTGTTTTTTTTTCTCCCTCTGGCTTACAAGCACATGCGCACACATTAAAAACAAAAACACACATGCTCAAACAGAAACCTCCCCAGTTTGCTGTGGAACATACCTCACAGTTTGCTTCAGTTGACCTTCTAGACAAATGCCACATTACAGAGGAAAGAGAGAGAGGGAGAAACCTGGCATCCCATCAAACTTCTATCATGATCCCTAAGATTTTAAATACTTTACTTTGTGCAGCCTCGTCATTGTATCCCCTTCCCTCTGCTTGTCTTACTTGGTTCCTGTATTTATTCCTCTATCCCTCTTGTTACCCTTCTTTCTGTGCCCTATGTCTTTCCTGTTTAGTTTTCTCTCCAATAACCTGGGCCAGAGCTGTGCTGTGGGGAATATGGCCCCTTTTCTTTAAAAGCAGAAAGCCACAGTTTGTGTAAGTATGTGCATGTCTGCAGACGTGAGTGATTATATGCGAGTTCCACTGAGGTTGTGTGTGCATTTAGCATGCGTATCTTTGCGGCCCCTTCTGTCTCACGAAGCTTTGCCCTCTCACAGTTCAACAGTTCTTTAATCCTCATCATCAGTGACCCCAAACCCCCAGCTCCCAGTCTCCTCATACACACAGAATACAATGCATAACAGACCACACACACTCATACCCCCTGTGCCCCCTTCATTAACTCCTACCAGTTTAGACTAGGCAGAGGCTTGAACACAAAGGAAAAGATTCTGATAGACTTTGTTGCTGTTTATGTCAACCAACCATCACACTAAACGTCTTTCTCTCAGGCATCCTCCGTTGGTAATGTAACACTAGTGTAAGCGCAGTGCCATACAAGAGCATAAATGTCTTTCACATGCTGGGTCACAGAGCAGTTTTGTGACTCCAGAGAGACACCTTGAGCACAGATTGTGTCTTTATTACTTGAAAAATATGCCTCCTGATCAACATTCCTGCTAGAAATGAACGTCGGAAATCAAGACAGGAAGATGGTTTGTATTACAAGTGGGACATGCATAGGGAAATGCTTTTGGCAGCTCCACTGTGATCCTACAAGCGCAAAGACATGCATACTCACACACACACACACAGACAGGGCAGAAGTGAATGCTATGTGTATAGACTTTATTTAGCATTATGTGTGATCATTGTGGCATAATGGACTTTAAAAGTAATCTTTCCAGTGCACGCTTATCAATGCTCCCCTTACTGTGGCGCACATTAAAAGTATTTCTGTGCAGCACATGACGAGCAGATAAGTGGTTTCATAGCCCTTCAGCCAGATAACTCAAAGCACACACACATATTGTCTCTCACACACACACACTCTTTTTATGCTCTGCTGTCATCATGGGGACTTAGCAATGACTTCCATTCATTCCACATTCATTCCGATGGCCTTACCACGATCCCAACCCTATCCATTACCAAGACATACCAAATCCCACAACCAGTGAAGAAAACTTTTACTCATGTGGACCAGTGGAGTGGTGCCCACAAGCACCTATAAGTCCCCACAAAACGGCATTTCCATGTGAATTTTCCTTCACACTGTCCCCGCAAGGCAACAAATACCCCACGCCCACCCTCACCCACACACACGTTGTGTCAGACTGTCCTTGGGGGGACTTTTCATTGACTTCAATTCATTTCCCACTCATTAATATGGCCTAACCTTAACCCTTACCCTAACCATTATCATCACATCCCGAACCCTGAGCCTAAACGGGTCCAGTCGTTGGTCGCCACAAGTACATAAGCCCCTAAGTCCCCCCTGTAGCATATTCCTTGGAAATTGTCCCCATCAGTTAACAAAAATACGACCATATACACACAACTAAGAGGATTTAAGGTTTATGAAACTATTCTGACTCTTGGGTCGTTTGTAAGGACACACCTTTCCCTTTATCTGGTGGACATGAAAAGTATGACAAAAAATGTTATTTTACCCATAGAAGTAGTAAAAGGCCTCTGCCTCTTGGTAAACCAAATGTTCTATAAACAAAGGACACTTCAGATTTGTGTTAGCATGTCTGCAAGAGTAATATACGGCATTACTCTTGCAGACATGCTTACACAAATATGCACCATGACAAAATTTTTTCATTAGATGAAAAAAAAATACACAGCTCACCACAAATTAATCAGGATTCTATAAAGGAAGCAAGATAAATTGTTGAACGAACAATGTATCTTCACCTTTCAGCTTTCTGTATTCAATTCTTTCCTCAGAAGAGATCACTCAAAACAAACACTTTAAATAACACTTTATAAGGTTTATGTATTAAATAACTAGAAAACAGTTTTTAGACAATAGTAATCTTATTCAGACCAAATAGATTTAATGGATATGATGGCACCATTGGGCCACGTTATCAGAAAGTGAGCAGTGCCTCAAATAACAGTAAAAAGAAGCATTTTATACATCTCCAGGCTCCCACTCTGCCACATCATCATATCTCACATCACTACATCATACACATGTTTGCAAATGAGGAGACTTCACTGGCTCCAGCCATATAAAGATAATACACAATGTTCTTAGATCAAGGACAATTGCTCCCATTCCATTCCCAAAATTTTGTTACATACATAATGAAGATGACTACTTTTCATCTGACAAAAGAATTGTCCTAATTAAATAAACAGCTTGGGAAAACATTAGTCTCCACACTGAACTGACAGGCAATATTAGGGCTTAACAAGCACATACATGAATTTAATAAAAAAAAAAAAATAAAATCCTATCAGGGCTAAAATGCAAAAGGGTAAAAGAAAAGAAAAGGTATTAAAAAGTATCCTCATGTAGAATAACGGAGGCAAATTGTATCAAATTATTTAGGTAACAAGCTACTGCTTACTAAGATTATTATTCATATGACTTATTGAAATATCTGTATGTTCTTTTGCCATTAAAACTTTTTTTTTTTTTTTACCATACTCTGATCCCCAGGGCAGCTCACACTGCATGTTTAAGATGTTTTTCTGCCTCATCACACCTGATTTAAACTGATGGGGTATTAGCAGCCCTCTGCTGAACTTAATGACATGTTGAGGAGGAAATTAAATCATCAGATCAAGTAGAGTGAAGCAAGCTTATATCTTACAAGTGTCAGAACAAAGGGTATGAAGACTGTTGTATAGGAGCCAAAAAAAATAACTCAATATAAATTGTTTCTTTTATTGCAATACTTTCAGTTTTGAAAGCTGTTAAGGGAGGCATTAGTTTTCTTTTTTGCTTTTTATTGAGGCATTGTTTTTTTTTTTGTTGTTCCATTCTATAAACACAGGCTGACCCAGAGGGCAAAGTAATGTACTAACTGTTGGTTTGTATCTAAAACTACCAATATTGAATGGTATTATTGAATGCTAAGTGGTCTGACACTTACTTCATCTCTAGAATCTCCTCCAGCTGTTTGCGTCTCTCCTGCCGCAGGTGGCTGAGGTGTCCATCTCGTTCATGTAGGCACTTCTGAGTGGAAGAAAGACGGACTTTGGTGGCATCCAGCTCCTGGCGTGTCTTCTCTAAAGCCCCCATCAGCTCCTCAAGCTATGTAAGGGAAGAACAGGTATACGGATGTTAGAACATGCTTTAATATCGCTATAGTTATTAAGTCATTTATTTCTGCTAAAGCACCTGAGACCTGTTTTGCCCTCTCACTGTGTGTGGGCTGTGTATGGTAAAGCTTGTGAGTGCTGGAACAGGTAAAGATGACATGAAATGACAGCCTAAACATGAAAAATCAATGCACGGTTGACATCTTGAAGGAGGCAAAATTATTATGGTTCATAGGTTAGTTGAATGGCATTTTCAATGACCCTTGGGATGGAAACAAATTTTCCCTCTACTCTCCTCCCTTTCACCACTTATTTCATCTTCTCCATAAGTGTGGTTCTACTTTAGGGCTACTAAAAAGGATGTTCAAGCTCTCAAGTACATCTCCTTCCTCTGCACACCCAGGCCCTACAGCAATGCAAGCCTGTGTGTCCAAACTGAGTGCCTGATAGACAGGATGTGACCCTAGGGCATCTTTATCCCAACAGAGGAAGGAGTCTAATTGCTCCAGAACAAGAACTTCACAATAGGATGCAGCACTAGACAAGATGTTAAGATAAAAAAGGATGTATCATTATTTCTATTGTATGCTGTTACTTTGAAGATTGATTATATGCAAACATAAATATAAATCGTTTCAGATTAGGCTTTAAGAGAAACAAAGACAAGAACAGGAGATGTACATTTTGAGAAACAGCTGCAGGGGTCAGACATGAAAAAGAAAAGGGGAATCTTTCATGAAGGAGCCAAATCATTCACACATTTTGGGACACAATTTATGTCCTCCAGCTTTCTAGGTGTGTTCCACAGATGTCAAATTGTGCTTCCTGACTGGTCATGAATATCGCATATGGAACAATGTAAAAAAAAAAAAAAAAAAAAAAGAAAGACAAAGGATACCAAGAATTTGCATGAAAGTCAACTTTTAAATGTCTTTTTAAATGTTTTTTTTTTCATGTTTTTTTTCTTCTTTTTATTTAGCAGCAGTTATTCCAATGCATGGTGCAAAGACATAAATAAAATTAAAACAAGGAACCCTACAAAAAAGGATTATTACACTTAAAATGTTTTCCTATTTTATCAGGTAAAAATTTTTTGTATTTGGATTTACAAAGTTGGATTTTATGTGCCAGACAAACAAAATTGACATACCTGTGAAGCAGCAGCAGGATGTAGGCATGTATTTACATACAGTCTTCTTTACTATGACAAAATAATATCAACTGCATTTATTTTTCTCATTAAGTAATTAGCATTAACACATAAAGTCAATATGATAATATAATTTTGGTATACATACATCTGGTCTGTCAAAGACAGGCCTATGAAAAAAATGTAGGCAAACAAACCTTGAGAACAAAGACTCACACATCTGACAGATCCTGGATATAGTCTCATACAGTTTAAATAAGAGTTGGGTAATAAAACTATATCCTAAGGTTTCATTTTTTTGCAGTTTGATACATAATCTAAATGGTATTAAAGTATCACTTTGTGTCGAACGTGTGTGGAAATCTAATGGAAACATTTCATATACTTTAGAGAACAGAATGCTTTTTTTAACCCGACATAATAGCCGGACAGAGTTGATATGATGTTTCAAGCTGGCTAAAAGCACAATAGTGGAGGAAAACCTCACAGTGGTTGAGAAGATTTTAGACTTTGTCATAGGTGAATCATCCAGTAGAAAAAAGTCCCCAGAAATTCAGCCGGAGAATTAAAATTAATTCAATTAAAGCCTATTAATGCGTGTTAAAGCCTTAGTCAAAGTCAATACATCAATCTAAATCAATGTGTGAGGGAAGACTTGAAACTTTATATTCTGAGACCTCTTTCTCCAATAAAAGAGCTCATACTATCTTGAAAAAAAAAACTTGGCTTAAATGAAAAGATTTAAGCATGTTTCACTCTGCTCGTATGCAAGGCAGACTTAAACCTGTCTGAAGGATGGACATGTCTAGTTGAAGTGACTTTTTATAACCATATTCACACACAATGTCACATAAAAACTGTTAGAAGAACATGGAGTGTCATTCTCACTCTCTGCGCTGTGCTGACAGATGTTCAAATGGGTTACTGCTGCAAGGACTCAGCTCCACTCTCTTGTCCAATGACACCATAGCAATCTATGTCACATGACAAATCCAACCCTTTCAACTTATATAGTCAGGTTTCTCAGAAGGTGCTATAAGGCACATCAATGTGTGCCAAGTGCTGTATATTAACCTGAAATTATTGAATGTATCTCAGATTAAGTTAATACTTGAGTCAAAAAAATAGTGTTGTTTTAAACTAAATGTTTCTTCCATGCCTCCATCAAAACAAATCTATTGCTGTTAGCCACTTAAATGCACCTCTCCATCATGCATGGTTTAGAGTTCCAATCTAAATACTGCACCACCCAGGGTAGATGTCATTGCACGATCACATCATTAATAAAGAATACAATGAAGGTTAGTGAAATTAGGGACTTAATCTTCTTAGAAGCAAGCCTGTGCTTGCTAATTTAGCTCAACTTCAAGAAAAAGGCTCTCCAACCACGCTAAAGCTGGCTAAGGCTAGCCCACTTTGGTTGATAAGCTGATTGAAAGCTCAAAGGTACAGACCAAATCCCTCTAGTGCATTCATGTCCTGTTCCTGGTTCAAAGGCCTAGTTCAAACGCCAAAGTGGGAAATGGACAGAAAATGCATCGGAAAGGCGGAGTGGACATAATTATACGAGACAACTTAAGAAGGTCAATTAGAAAGAACAAGGATGGATGTTAGAGGTGATTCCATGAGAAAGAAAGAAGCTGTAAGCAGCAAAGATAAAGTGAGAGACTTAGAGGATGGGGGTGTGAAGAAAAGTGACCAGGGGCATTACCCATGCTACATTTCATCAGGTCTGGCTGACAGAAGATTTTCAGTTCATTACACATCATGAGACTGATTACTTTCGGAGGGAGAAAAGAAGAAAGAGTAAAATCAAACAAAAAAGGGAGGGTGTGTGAGAATGTGAGTTTAGTAGGGTGCTCTGAAACTGTGCCAGGGTCAGGTGGTCTTTCCGGCAGACACTATTCTTTTTCTGTTTTATAATCACACACACTTTTTTTTTTTTTAACAACAGCAGTTTATGTTTTCATTTTTCAGTCACCAACCAGTAATTCAGAGGCTGGGAAACTATGGTTAGATGGTTGCCTTTAACTTTTCACTCTTTTGTTAAAATCTATTTTATTTAAATTTGACCTAACATAGTACATGGTTCCAAATTAGGGGGAAAATGATTTACTGACTACAGATTTTTTGTCTTTTTTTTTTTTTCATGACGAAGACCTCTAAGCTGTCAAACCTCTTAGGTCAATGTTTTCTGTTCTACTTACAGCTGCAGCTTTTTGGGGGTTTTGCCTCTACAAATTTGATTGTGAATTTTTCAGAAGGGCAGTTTGAATTTAAACTCTTGCTTTTACCTCTTGATTTGGATTTTACAAACAAACACACAAATACATATTGTTGCATGTCCTTATTTTTTTCCTCAAAGTTTTTTCCTTATAACAATCATTTTTATATTATATCAGCATTTGAAACGAATAAAATCAGTTGTTATGCATCAAACTTGGTCAATAAAGTTCATTCTGATTCTGAACTGTTTGCACTGAACATCCAGATAGGCTTCACAGTTATCTACTACTTTCTGTTAATCTTTACTTGTTAGGGTGACCATATTTTCATTTGGGAAAACCAGGACACCTTGGAGCAGGGGGGGGGGGGGGGGGGGGGGGGGGGGGGGGGGGCGGGGGTTGATTGATAGAACAAATGTGTCATCATCGGGATTTGCTCCATGATCAGAGGAAATGTTACTTGGTGCCGAACAGTGGTGAAATTTGGAAGTTCAGTTTAATATAATACAACTCTGTGAATAGCTCCGTCTGAAATGAATGAAAATAGTTGTTTTAATGGTTATAGAGTCAGATATGTGGCGGTAATGTTTGATTTATCTAAAGGTTTATCGGTTACTGTGTAAATGAGTTTGGCTGGAATTTAAGGACAGATTCTAATAGATCTGCAGAGTGGGAACTATAAATCTGATAGGAGTTTAATTTTTCTGTTGTTGTTTTGCACAATATGCTTAACTAAGTATTTTTTGTTGTTGAATATTAGAGATTTTGCAGATATATTTTTATACATACATTGTTTAGATTTACTTATGTATTTCTAACCCTTTTATAGTATAGAAAATCCCTTTATTGTCCCACAATGGGCAAATTTACAGCAGCAGAAAGATTATTGAAAATGGTCACACAAATGTGGACCTTAGAAAAATTTATAAGAATAACATAATAGGGAAGAGTTAAAATATAAACAATAAAATACTGTAAAGTGTTTTAACAATATAAAACTGGAGAATAAATAACCAATATGCAGCTATGGACATTTTTACAGTATTGGATATTTGAAAATAGCAGCAACATCAGAGATGTGCAGAATGACAGCAGCATGTTATTTAACTGACTAAGGTTTCTATCATTACATTTGATTTTATTTGTTCCTGCTACCGTTGGTTGGAACCTTTATTCCACTCTGGATTCTTGTGAGTGTAGTCTTTGTTCGCTTTAACTTTTTAAAAAATAAATAAATAAACAAACAGTTTTGAAAACCTCGGTATTCATTCCTTTCCTGCTTTTGTGTCAACGTTCACGGTTGCTAAGCAACAGAGCATACTGCCGGTAAAACCCGCCGAAGGGAGGACCTGTTCGAATTTACAGACAAAACTCTTCCGGCCTCCTTATTTTCAAGGACTTCGAAGGATCCAGTCTAGGTAGACCGCGTCCTTGGAGGATGCAGCCCAGGTTTTCAGAACAGAGCCTCTGATTAAGAGCAGGGCTGCCCGCACTGACGCGGCTCAGGGATTACGTCACACGGAGCGTCGCGTGTAATCAGGACATTTCCTCACTTTCTAAAAAAAACCCGGGACGCCCGGGACAGGACGTGAAATACGGATATGTCCCGGGAAATACGGACGTTTGGTCACCCCATTACTTGTAATTTGAAAAAATAAAACAGTTCAATGTGTATAAGTAGCTTTGCAACACAATATAAACTCTGCATCTTTGTGACTACATACTTTTTGATTGTATATATGTGTATAAAAAGCTGTAAACTGATTTATTAAAAACAAGCTGCTTAAGTTTTTCGGGGGGGGGGGGGGGGGGTCACAAGTTAGGCTAGGACCTTTCTGATTCTTATACACATGAGTTAACTTAGGTCAAAGCTGAATCATCCGGTTCTTCACATGCAACAAATCCCTCATTAGTAAATATATTTCTTTCCGTAAAAATTCAAAAAATATCCACTGGACTTGGTTTTCAAATCTTGAAAACCAAGTCCAGTGGATATTTTTTGAATTTTTACGGAATGACTATGACCTGGATGACTGAGAACCTTCATCAGCATTAGTAAATATACTTTTTTTCTTTTTTACTTTTCTGAGGATCAAAATATTGTATAATAAACATAGTATCCAAGCTGAATGTAAGTTGAGCATGAAGGTACGCAAAGAGGAAAAAACAAGCCACAGTTAACTTTGGCTCAGGCAAAATTTTCTAAACTGAGTCTGACCTTCTCTAACTTGGCTCTGTTGTTCACCAGACCTCATTTTTTATGTTTCAAGCTCTGCTAGAGTGTGCTTAAAGAAATACAGACATATTTCTACCTCATAATGCTAGCTCTAGTCTTAACCACTTTTAGATCTCATATTACTTGTGGCACTCATAAGTAATGCAAGGTCATTCTCATTCAAATGCACACTCACACCAAGAGGAAACATGCTCACTTGCCCCGTTTCTTTTTCCCACCACAGACACACCTAGATTCACACACATACAAAAGCACACACATTCATTTTTCTTACTATTTTTGGTTCACATGAAGATGTAGAGAAACCAGCTGGTAGTCAGACAAACATTCAGATAGTAAGACACGCAGGGTTAAAAAAGGCAGGAGTGTCTGCAAGCCTAAAGCTTAAGTTCAGCTAAGTGATCATATGTAATACAGAAGAAAAAACCCCACTACAATTACTTCATATTTCCTTACAAGGAGAAGATCTTAATCATATTGTCATATTAGTAAAGATACATATGTAACATGAGGATACATGTGTAACCTCATATAGCTTTTAAAGAGACACTGTATATGGAACTGTGCCTTCATAAGTCTGACTATGCAGATATGTGATCCGCCATAAATTTGTACATCATCACATAAACCTGTTTCTGGGCCTGAACACGAGCAGCCTCTTCTTGCGTCCAGAGAGCCTCCCTATGTGCAGAGGTGTTCATGGTCTCCCTTAGAGCCTTTTCCAGCTCCATTATCCGCTCTGCTGTCTCACGCATAGCATCCTGGGAAGTGCAAAGCTTGATGTAGGAGAGGGAGAAGTAGAGCATGTTTTGAAAACAACAGAAGCAAAAGGAAAGCAGAGAGGTGAAATGTTTTTGTTTAATTTGATTTCAAATTAAGCAGGGAATTATTTTCAGCTCAATTTCGTACATCATTGTTAAACAATGCATGAATCAGTTGAAATTAATTTTTGATTATTTTTTATGGGTAACTTGGGAAATACTGAAGAAAAAGCAAGCAAAATAAAAACTTGCTGCAAATAAAAAATGGACCGCCAAATGCAAGAATACTATTGTTACTTTTGAGTGCACATTTAAAACTAATTTGTTCAAGTTGCAAGTTAAGAGTCATATGTCTATTTATGGAGAAGTAAACAAGTACAAGAGCTTGCAGGATTTGCACCATAAGTTTGTTTTTATCAATAAAATCAAATAAAATTTAGCTACATTTGAAATCAATAAGTAAACTCTGCTTTGTGGGATACCAAAACAATGTTTTAAATTTTCCAGTATTCAATATCTTATTAGAAATTGCACTAATAGATCAATACTAAAGCAACTCCAGCAGGAATAAGGGAATAAATTGCAAATCAATTAACCTGAAATTTGTTTTTTTTCAGTTGTGTAGGTTTACCACATTGAATTGTCGAATAAAAACATTGTTTACACTTAACAAGTTTAGGTTCTAGTGCTGGATAGAAAATCGCATGTGACAGACCAGATAATAAACATAACTGGAAGTTGACCTGTGAAAATGGTATATTGCTATTTTATAGCTGATAGACATGTAAGTAGAGAAAATATGTAATAGTTGTCCCCCTGAGCCAAAAGTGAAAAGGATTGCTTGAAGAAGAAATTAGTAATCTGATTTGGGCCAGTGGGTATACCAACATGACAGTGTATCTCTACAGGCACAATTTGTGTAAGGCCTTTTTGACGCCTACGGTGAGGGCGAGAAAAATTTCCTTCTCTACAATGGTTGATAGAAATGTCAAAAACACCAGCTGTTGGTTTGTTCTTACATTCTCATCATTTTCAAAAGTGTTTTTTTCTCTTTAGTGTTTACACATTCACACTTTTCTAACAGTAGTGTGAAGGCCTTGTGATCATATGGATAAAGAAATGTGAAGGATAAACGGGCCATTTTATCAAGGGGAGGTTGAGTATTTGGATGAAAACAGAATATACTGACAGTTCTTGGAAACAAGACATTTTATCCTATAAATTGTTGTTTCATGTCTGGTTAACTGAGGTGCACCCCAAAATGCATGTATTGGCAACGTCAACCTATAGCAGTGCAATGAAAAGACACATTTTTGGTGTTTCAGCGAGCAGAGCACTTTTTTTTTAACAGTTCCATAGGTCACACATGAGGATTCAATTGTAATGGATTCCTCAGATGTAGAAAAAGTCATGTCATGAGACATTGCCAGGAACACAGGAGTGGGATCTGAGTACCTTATCACTTGCCTCAAAAAATGCTATAAAAATACTCAATACAAGTTCAGAATCTCTTAACTGATACAAATGAAAAAACTAATGAATTATAAAGTAATGATGAACTTATCTCAAAGCTAGTAAAATCAAAAGTGAAAACTTGTGGCTTGTCTTGTCAGCAGACCACAGCTGGAGGTAAGCAACATACATATGCACACACACACAGAGGCGTGTTGTGCGTGTCAGCAGCTCAAGACTAACTGGTTGTGACGGACAGGCAGTAATTCGATGCACCAGAATCAACAAGTGCTGGTCTGACCACACAGAACAGACTGAAGTCTGCACACACTCATCCATACACGCCCCACTGAGTGGAGGCTGCAACCAATGGACCCCTCAAGTGAAACCCAACCAAAACGCTGCATCCACATGTGTGTGTGGCTTTGTGTGTCTCAAAGTGCAAGAAGTATTTTATCACTGTTTTGTTTGAAACAATAAATGCTGGTTTAAAAAAATACTTTAAAAAGTTGCAAAGCTGCAACCATTTTTTAAAAATTATTTTAGTTTAGGCAAAAACAGGGATCATCTAATGGACTTGGGAAGGATTATTATGTGTCTGGTACTTCTTTGCTTGAATGAAAAGTCGCAATCAATTCTATAAACTAGTAAAGAGTGAGAAATGTTAATTTCCAGCAACTGAAGAATTCCTTGCTTAACATTCATTAGCCCATAGTGAGTGCAGGATAAATCTCCATATGTGCAATAGCAGATAAAAAAAAAAAAAAAAATAAAAAAAGATACTACAATCCATGTGGTGACAATTATTTGATTTTCATTATTACTCTAAGAAACTAAAGAATTCTGGGCAAATTACTGTGAGAAGCTATTGTATCATCCTTAAACATAAAAGTGAAAGAAAAAAAAACTTCTTTGCAAATGCTTGAAATTAATACTTCCGATTTTGACTTTTTCTGTATTTGCAAAGTGCAGCATGGTGCAGTGGAGACAATGGGCCGAAGAGATTTTATCCGTTCGTCCCACATAAACTGTCTTGAAATGATAGGGAGAGTTTATTTATGTGTGTTTACCCTTGGAGCGTGCTATGTTCCTGATGAAACTGGAGATAAAGGAAAGAAAAAAAGGCTGCATGGGGAAATAGACGAGACAGAGGCCATAACAAAATCTTAGTGCTGGAGAGAGCCCAATATGCATAGTACAGGCTGCTTTGAATGCATGGATAGCAGCATTGAAGATGTTATGTACAGTAAAGTGCAATTTAGCAATGTTATGAACAGTTTAGCATGCTGTTTTCTGTATGAACTTCTCCTGCACTAGAGATATTTTTTCCCCTTGACTATTAAAAGGAAATATTCTCAAATGCTGGCCAGCCTCTGCTATCTTAAATAAATAATTCTTAAGATTCTGGTTCTTTTCCTGAAAGTTTTCAATTCACCATGGTTAATCTGTTGCTTAAACAGTCCACTAATTTGAAGCCCATATCTTTAAAAACAGATGGAGCAACTCTTTGTCAGAAGTCCTGGCAAAGAAAACATAAAAGTTGATATCATATATAAGACATAAAAGTTTCTTAAACAGTTTTGAGCATTGGTTAAGAATAAATTGACCAGAGCACATATGCTAAAGAAGTAAACCACTTACTTTAGATTTCAGTCCTTCAAGAATGAAGCATCACCATCACCTCAGTACTATCAATTTGTCCTAAAGGCGATAAGCATTTAGGCCTTATCCACTTTTCTAACCCAATATTTTAGTTTTCACCCATCTTTATCTAGAGTTGGTTCTTTGCTGTAGCAATATGCAGTACTTAAAGATATGAAAATTGTATTTAATAAAAAACATACTCAAATGAGAAGTACTAATGATACCTAGAGTTTGAAATCGGAACGAAACACACTGAATGTGTTATTTATTGCTCCTTTAATTAACACCAAATTATAATGATAATTTGGTCTGGAGGTGGTTCTATACTGCAAATATTTGCACTTATTCAAAACGTATAAAAAAGTTCTAAAATAATAAATCCAAAATAATTTATTAATTCCAAAGGCAAATCAAATGCTGTTGTAACTCATATTACAGGGGGGTTCTTAAACCACTTGTTATAAATATTAATGGGTCTAGGGAGGATTGGTCTGTGTAAAAGCTTTTGTGGAGCTTTTGTTTCTCTGACTGAAGACACTCTCTGACTGTATATAAAAATCTGATATGGAGGATGCTCGGGGTTGCCATAATGTGTCTCATGTTATAATGAATTCTTTCATAAATATTCTAGATCAGTTTCCAGAACAGAGCTACCCTCACTATTATCCTATTCAACTTCTTTACTACTATACAACTTCTCGTACTACCCCCAACAGACGATGACAAAGAAGATCCAACTCCACACAGCGGACATTGAAAGATGTAAGCTTTCTAAAGAAACAAAGTTTGCTCTGTCCCTTCTTGTAAATGGCCCGTACTTACAGTAGTAGCCATTCAACATTTACCCACTTTCCTTGATGGGCGCTTGGCTGGTCCCCTACAATTCCTTTTTAAACATCAATCTTTGTACTAAAATATTCTGTCATGTTTTGTGGACATAAAGATCGAACAAGAAGCTTCATATCCTGGTCAGAATATGAAAGAGGGGGTCACTCCAGTGGCTGGAAGGTGGAGGGGTTTTTGCTGGGAGTTGCAGGGAAGTGGGCTGCCATTTGGACTGGGAAGGACCATTTTGAATTGCTGCTACTGTATATACTGTAGCTCTTTGGTCAGGAGAATTGACCAAAGTGTTTTACACTACTTTCAGTCATACACCCATTCACACACACACTTGAACACTGATTAAGGCAAGCAAAATTGTAGCCACCGCTGCCCTGGGGCTCACTGACAGAAGCAAGGCTGCAGTACACTGGTGCCACCAGGCTTCTAACCAACATCAGTAGGCAATGGAGGTGAAGTGTCTTTCCCAAGGACATACGACATTGAAAGCCAAAACCGGGGCTCAAACTGACAACCCTCAGACAAACTCCTGCACCCGACGCCACTGTCGCCCTTCACAGCTGTGTCTTAAGCTGTTTTTGTTTTCCAGGTCCCATTGTAATTTAAAGGTTCAGAGCTTTGTGATCAGCATCGCATTAAACAACACATTTGACTAAATACTAGTACCAGTATCGGGTGGGGCCCTGATACAGCACTAAAATGGTGGTATCAGTATCGGCGAGTACCAACAAATAGGGCACGATACCATTTTGAGAGCCAGAAGTTTATTCAGCTATTGTCAATCATTCCAGGTAGGCAATAAAAAGTTCTACTGGATTCACTTTGTATTAGTCTTTTTCCTGCTTAACAAAGGTAGGCAGCAACTTGACAAAGCCATGATGGCAATTATTTTACATCCAAGTAGTATGCAGTTCTTCAAATATACACACACATAACAATTTCAAACAGATGGTATCGGTATGATGTCGGTATCGGCCAATACTTCACAGCCAGGTATCGGGATTGGAATCAGGGCCAAAAAATGGCATCGGCGCAACACTACATCTAACCGATGCTATAAATTTACTTTTAAAATTCAAAAAATCTTGTCACTAATGGACCAATGGATGGATGGATGGACGGATGATCAGCAATGAAACATAAAAACAAAACAAACAAAAAAACTGCATTGTAACTTTGCCATAAATGAACATTTTGCTATATGTTGCATTTACAACTGAAATTCAAGGAGGGAAAAAGATCAAAAGCATCCTATTTAATGTTTCAAAAAAGGGAAGATGGGGAAACAAACAACAAAGAAACAGCTTTTGTTACTGATATAAAGTGGATTAAACTCACTAATCCGACAATTGGATGTTAAACTTGCTCCAATACTAGGAAAGTACTCATTTGAAATAATATATAATGGTATTCAAACCTGTGATAAAGAATGTGGATGTCCATCTGCCAAGGCCTCTTTCCGGATCTCACCAGGCACCATCTGCTTCTGGATATTTGGAGACTTGATTTGCCTTTAAGCAAAGTACATAAACAATACTGATTAAATGCTTAATAAAGAAATGCAAGAATTAAATTTCCACAAAAGAAATTTTACTGAATTCCTCAACTCGTTTCTTTAAATTGATATGTATCAAAGTAAGAAATGTTTGGCCTCATTGCATTGCTTGTTTATGCCACAGCAAGTTTTGTAATTTTTGTGTGGGTTAGCAAAGGTTACAAAAACAAGACCTTATATTTATAAATAAAAAAAGCATAGTTCGCACTAATCTGCTATCAATATTGAGTTGTTATTACTGTTCCTTTTCTAGATATATTTTCCATAACTGCTGGCTAGATCTCTCGATCGAACTTCAGTGACATGTGTTATAGAGGGATGGACTTCAGCAGCTCGTGTAGTATGAACACTTGCAGGCAGAACAAACTTTTTTCTTGTTCTTGAAACCTTGACTTTTAACTTTTTCCACTTTTAATAACACTTTATTTACACAATTCAAAACATATAAATATTTGACATAAAACAAATGACAGTTAAAAATCAATGTTAAGGTAAAAATAAGTGTCAGCCAAAAATTATTATATGAGAACTTGTTAAAATGTAGTTCTCCTTCATCTGACACAGTACTTAAAATGTTGTTAAAACCCCACAGCTGAATAAAATCCTCCATGTTCTGTGCGGCTCAGTGGAAGTGAAACTCCAGCCTTATTCTGGCTTTAACGTTGCACTTCCACAGAGCCACGGCATCAAGGTGAGGTCCCTCTTGTAGTCAGTCACTGCAGGACAGGTAAACGGCCATCTTTGCTTCACTGTTTAAAAATGTTTAAATCCGGGCCTTTGGCTCATTTGGCAAACTCCTCTTATTAATAGGGTGTTGCAAAAACCGTTCCAAAAAGACTAAAAATACATTTATTGAAACCTTGAGAACAAGACAAAATTGTCTTAGTTTTTGCTGAGTTTGTATTAGCCTTTAGAGACTTCTCCAGACAGTGGTCTGAAAAAAAATTTGAAGCTAAAATCCTTTGCATTAGCTTTCTGACTTGAATCTGACCTCTACTGGGAATTTTTTAACCAATTATCTTTACAGAATTAGTTTTATATGAATCAGCTGTGTATGCCATCTTTCTTGGACTCACCATTCTAATGGCCACATATAGACTTTGTTGTCCCTAAGTCACTACTGTATGTGCCAATTCAACTAGGATACTAGTTGCACAATCCTTTTAAACTAGGATTAAAAGGATTGTGCAACTGGAAGACACATTTGCAGTAATAAAGTCCCTGATGATGTCACTTCAACATGTCCAAATAAAAGCTATCAATGATATGCCCTATAGTTTTAAGTACAACCCATCCTGTAGCAAAACACCCAGACGACATGAAGTTTCCACCTCAGTGGTCTACAGGTAGGATTGAATATTATGGTTTGAAGGATTCAGTGCTTTAACTGGTCGTTATTGCAGAACACTTCAAATTTACTCTCATCAGACCACATGGTAAAAAAAAAAAAAAAAAAGACCCTGGTCACTGAGCGCATTTTTCAAAAGTAATCTAGCATTTTATTTTTTTCTTCTCTTATTTAAAAAGGTGCCTTTCTGGACAATCAAGGTCACTGTACAAAACCATAAAAACACAGTGCCAGAAACAAAATAGTTATGTGTTGTTATGGGGTTATTATGCTTATTTTAACACACAACCATGTTATTTGTAGTTAAGTAAACTCATCAGCTGTCCATGTTTATCCATTTCAGCTTTATTCATACATGCTAACCATGTTAATATTCACAATCTTGTTTTTGAGATGGACCTTTTAACTTGTATACAGTAGTAGTGTTGGAATTCTCAGTCAACTAGAAATAGGAAGAAATGCGTTTTGTATAAACTAAGCTTTACAAAGCAATGGACAGAATAGATAAGCTTTCTAACTTATTTAAAACCAAAATACTTTGAGCATATTCAAACATCCAAATTTGAAGAAAATACTGTTAGTAATGCGGCCATCCAGTCAGATTTAATGTCATACTGATAAAGGGCATAGTTATTTTAAAGGAATAAATTTCTAGTTTAAAGCTACAGTGTGTAATTTTCAGCGACATCTAACGTCCAGACTGCAGACCGCAGCAACATGAACATCTCCCCCCCACCGCTTCTCCCCCCCAACAGTACGGCTAGCGTTACGGGACAAAATGTCTTCCACAACGTCCGCATCACCTACCTTCTCAAGTGATGAGGTTTGTTTACATAGATAATTTTACAGATAGTATTTCATTAGTCTGTGTGTTCAGTACCGTCTCAGTTCATCTCTCTCAACTTGCCGTAGTTACTTTCAAGCGTAATGGGCGATCTCGCAATCGCTAGTTTGTTGGCTCTGCGCTGCTGTAGCGCAAAGATGTCTGCCTCCATGGCTGCGAGACCCGCTCCTATGTAATTATAAATAACGAATTCTAAGGCAACGCAAATATTAAAGTTAAGAGGCTGAGCTCGTAGATGATGATAAATAATATAGTTATGTATAATATATTACATTTCTGACTGTATATCCCTGAAATTATTACACACTGTAGCTTTAAACAATAAATAAGAATACTTTTTCTTAGTTAGAAAATTATTTAAAAAGTATTTTTTTATATAACCAGATTGATTAACCCATGTTGCTTTATTCACATTAAACATATAACTATTTTTTACAACAATGTCTGCGCTTTTATCATGCAATAAAACAGCTGAGCCACAGTGTAGGTAGTAAATCAGGTATGGACAAAGACTGTGTGTTTTGATTCATTGTGACTTGGCAAACATGGGCAAGACAAGACTCGACTCATAGAGGTGTAACACTGCAATATAAATCTTTCAACAACACCAACATAAAACAAAACAAAAAAGCAGTGTTGCAAGCATGTGCATACACAAACACACATTCCCCCCAAAAATCGAGCAGTATCGTAAGAAAAAAGATACACATACAGATTTATATATGCATGTAGGTATGTATGTATGTATGCAAGAAGGCTGACAGTGACATATTAGTGCTTAAGAGAACTCTCAAACCTTGTTAATAAGCTGTGACCAAGCAGCTGTTAAGGTGTACCACATTATTATTCTACATCCACACCTGTGTGTTTACTCTTGGCAAGAACTACAAGAAGCCCCCACATGTGGGCAAATATTTGCTGTCACACCTCTAGGAATGAGGTGAGTATTTACTGATGCGTCAGTCGGTATGATTGATGTTGGTGGGCAATAAGTATGAAGTATTGCAAACAAGTTGATGTATTCATTTGCCACACTCAACCTTGCCACTCATAAAAGTGCTTTATTAAATATTTTAGGGGAATTTTTGTCGTAAGAAATTATAACATGGAGGGACCTTAATATATCTGTTGATGCTGCACATAAGAAAATAACATATTTCGTAATATGTATATGTATATAATATATGTATGTATGTAATAACATATATCTATTTTTAGGTAAATGACAATGGCTTTAATCCAATACATAAGTAGTTGTTTTAAATGATTACATGCACATATATTTAATTTCCTTGTAAAGACATACTCATCAAGAGAGATTTTTTTTGATTGATTAAGATCTCTGTGTTTGGTTGTATAAGCTCAGAGGCATGTCCATGAAGAGCAAAGTTGAAATAAGGGCATATCGTTTATGACAAACATAACCTCCACTGGCACAGGTGTACAAACTTACAAGCTGGTCCTGTTTGATAGCTGATATACCCCTATAAAGGTATCAGTGCAATACAAATTTAAGTGTTTTGACCTAGGTGCAGGCATATGAGGGCACTTAGTGTGAAGCTTACTGTCTGAGGAGGATGAGGGAAGATTCAGACTAGTTCGTTGCAGAAATATGCATTTTTCATTTGCAATTGGGGATAAAATGTAGAGCAAGAGAGTAGCAGGGAACCATTTCCTCAACCTCAGATTGAGTTGTTGAGTTTTTTTTTTTTTTTGTTTTTCAAGCATAACCTCAAACACACCGTCTTCGGTGAAACAAAAGAAACTTCAAGAGAATTATATAAAATATCTAGAAGATAACTGTTAATCTCCAAGATTTTGGGTCATTCTTGGGTACAATTTCCAGGTGCTTGAAGGTGCCTTGTTTATCTGTTACAAAAGATTCTAAAGAAAAACACTGATTTCCAAAGATCAATAATCCTGTATAAGACGAATGTTCAAATGTAAAATAAATTGCATCCAGATACTTAAGGGGTTAATTGTGGTTTACAAAAAAAAAAACAGATATTTGTACAATCTACTTTAGCCTGAGGACAAAAGCTCACCTACTTTTGACAACTAAATAGTTGCATCACAAGTGATCTTGGAGTAAACAACAATAGGAATCAAATAAAGTGATGATATAAATTCAGCAGTCATCTTTGTTGCAGGTGCCACTTGTTTTAATTCTCCAGTAAAACAGGAAATCTAAAAGGAAATTATAAACCCAAAATTGCTTCTTTTTTCTACACCAACACCTGCAACAGAAACATTGTTTACAAATGTTGTTTCAGAGAAATTATGGAAATTGAACCTGTTTGTGTGTGTTTTGGCATTCAGTCAGGCATTACTGCACCTGGTGTTTGATTATAATCTCAGGAAAGAGGCCAAAAGTTATACTTGTTTGTTAGTGTGCATGAAAATACTTGTTTGTATGAATGTGTTACCCACCAACTACTTGTTTCTTCCTCATGTGAAACCGTCTGAAATTTCCCCCAAAATACAGACCATACCCTGTCTAACTATTGGCACAGTCAAACTAATATTTCCACAAGCATCGTCTACACGCCCACCTTCCTTTTCTTTAAATCGGCATCATACAAGATAGCCTTTTATGTAAGTTTCTCTGATAGGTAAAAGTTCATTTATTTAAAAAGTTTAGCTCAACCAACACATAGTTCGATTTATTTTATTTATATGTGTAGAACCGTGATGGCTTTAGGTGAAAACCTTAAGCCTTCATATTCACCCATAAAAAAATAAGTTGATGTGCATATACAGTGAGGAAAATAAGTATTTGAACACCCTGCTATTTTGCAAGTTCTCCCACTTAGAAATCATCCAGGAGTCTGAAATTGTCATCGTAGGTGCATGTCAACTGTGAGAGACATAATTTTAAAAAAATATTTAAAAATCCAGAAATCACAATGTATGATTCTTTTCATTATTTATTTGTATGACACAGCTGCACAAACCAGTATAAATCTGTGATAGACAGCAATTCTCCTTTGCTGAGATAATCCATCCCACCTGTGCCATATCAAGATACTGATTAGACAACATGATTTGTGCACAGGTGTGCCTTAGATTTCCCAAAATACCACTCTGAAAGGTGCATTTTTATCACATAGCACAAAACCACAGATGTTGCAAGATTTGAGGGAGTGTAAAATTGGTATGGTGACACTGAATGTGAACAACAGCTGTTGCTCATGTGCTGAATGTTAATTTCTCTACCCTAACCCGTCTCCAAAGGCGTTTCAAGGAATTTGGCAGTACATCCAACCAGCCTCACGACCACAGGCCACTTGTAACCACACCAGCCCAGGACCACCATCCATGATGTTGACCTCCAAGATTGTCTGAGCCACTCAGACAGCTGCTGAGACAATTGGTTTATATAATCAAAGAATTTCCGCATAAACTGTCAGAAATTGTCTCACCCCCAGATTCCAATACGGAGCGAGCTATTTTTTGCTCCACTTCGGATCAAGACCCACAATTGCAATGGCACCAAACAGGAAAAGTTAAGAAGATCTGGTTTGTCAAATTAAAATATGGTAATGACAGATCGGTACCTACAAATTAGAGCCTAATTAAACTATCACAGATTTAGACTCGTTTATGAGCAACATTTGAGGGAAATGGTGTGTATTGTGTATGCGGTAAAGGTTTTAGATCATTAAGTGAACAATAAAAAATGTAAGCAAAGCCAAATGTGTTGTGGTTATACTTTTGTTGAGTATATATATAAATATATATATATAAATTTTTCTATACAATGGCGTAACTATCGGTAAGCAGAGACTGCAGTTGCCAAGGGGCCCCCGACCTCTTAGGGGCCCCATCAATGACACCTGGTAGGAGCCCCTACGCAACTGTGGATTAGGACGTCTCTTTGCAGATGTAATGGTGCAAAAAAGTGGTATTAAACCCATCTGATATTAAACAGGTTGACCTGACCTTATTTATACCCCAACACAGACCAGATTTCAACATAATGGTGAGCCATTTAAACACGACCCCAATAGCAAAGCACACAGTGGTACTTTTAATTACTATGTTAATAACTATGTATCAGTTCATTAGACGGTTGGTAAAAAATACACTCATATAATATAAAATGGGTAATCCAGAGTGTAGATTAAAAGTATAACCGTTACATACAATGTGTTAGGAACGAAAAATTAAAGAAGAATGGGGTGTTGCACATTATATGGGGCCCTACCAGGTAACGTTGCTTACGGGCCTATTGTTGTGTCGCTACACCATAGTGTCTATATATACATTTATAGATATATATATATATAAGTAAATATATATACAATCATTGCTTTTTCCTCTCTCATTTGAGTCTGATGGGGAAAACTGGCCACTGTCAGTCAAATCTTTAAGCATCTTCGGTCAATGAGGCAGCATCCTCCTTCTCCAGAGTACAAATGAGAAAGGTATCCAACAGAAAAGGAAATCAGCCATTGCTTTGGCAACAGAGAGCCACCCAATGTCCATGGCTGTTGCCTTGCTGGGCTGTTTTCTTGAAACTAAATTTATAAAGCTTAATAAAAGTATTTCAGAGGATCTTCCCTTGACTTCTTTTTCCTGCCTCCTAACATGTGATTTTTTTGTCACTGTGACGAAGTACAATAAACCAGTAGAAATTACATTTTAATACAAGTGTTTCCTCAACCATTAAGAAGCTTTTGTTTGCTGTCAAGATTCCTAGATACTCTGCACTGATGCAGACTTGCTTTTTAAGGGCTGAACGGATCTACCCCCTACATGGTTTGGGGCGGCCCTTAACATGACAGAGGCTCCGCAGGAAAATGCAAAGGGAGGGTAAGTGTGTGGGGGAGTGTTAAGGGGCCAGTTTCGGATTGGGCCCTTACTGCTGAGAAGTTAAAAGGTGTAGGAAGCTGAACTGTTTTTCTTTTTTACATTTTGTTATTTATTGAAAATTATTCAAAATTGCAGATGGCTTAATATCTAAAATTGTGATATATATTCCCTTAGATATATTTTTTGGAGGGGATTAAACATAAATGAATAAAATAAAACATGGCGTTTTAAGATGTCATGCTGCAAAATTGATAGACATAGAGAGAGAGAGAGAGAGAGAGAGAGAGAGAGAGAGAGAGAGAGAGAGAGAGAGAGAAAGTAACCTCCTTTAAATCACATATATATTAGCTTTAGCTGTACAATAGCCTTGCTAAAGTTTATTTATTACAATGACCTGCTCGTTATGCCTCTCTTTGCTTTGTTTCAAAATGAATGTTAATGTGTCTCATCTATTATCTTCCCCTCTATTTAATGACCGTTAATAGGTCAGCCAACGTAGATCCAACAGAAACAATGTGATTAAAAACACATTCATCCTTTGCTCAGACTCACTACATATCATATGCTCTGACACTGATGTCCATTCAGCACAGACACACACTCCATCCATGCTGTCACACAACACATGTGCACAGCTACTCGCGTGCAAATATTTAATGTATTTATCTAAACAAAAATGGAAAAAGTCGTACTGCAGCCAAAAGAACTAGTGTCTGTTATAGTTACTTTGGAAACATATTTTATTTTAGGTGTGCAGCTGCAGTGTATGATTATAAGGATCCTTCTTTGATAACCTGTGGTTGGATTGCCTCTGACCTTTGATCTGTGTGTATAGAGCAGAGGGGAAGGGTTGAGCTGATAGGAGAGCCTAGCTGACACTAATGAGACAGCACCCCTGAAAAGATAGATGAGCTGAGTGGAAAAGGAAACCCTTCAAACTATCTCAAGGACTGCTGGATAGCTCACAACAGCTGCATGCAACCGTTCAAGAGGCATAATGAATGCACAAACATGGAAACACAGCAGAGGATCCATGCAGTGGCTGTGCAGAAGCTACTGTATTCTTATAATATTTGATCCGCATACCTTCAAACACTATTCCAAAGCAGAAAGTGTGCAGAATGGATAATAAATGAGGAAGAAAACCGTGGTGGATCCAGGATGTGCAGTCTATACTGACATTTAATGTCAGGCAGTAGGTTAAATGTCGCAGCTGGACATTAAATCTGCTGCTTGGCTTACAATGAAATTATATAAATAAAATACTATAAATGTGTTTGAATGGATTATTAAATGTCCAAACTTAATTATTTAATGTTTGAAAAAGAAAAAAAAAATGTTTATGGATTCTCTGCATCCAATCTGTATGCGTCACAACTGTCCTGAAACTAAAGCTAGGTAAAAGGTTGTCCATTAAAACCTACAAAGCCATACACCAAAGTCACAAATCTTTCAATTGTTTTTACAATGAAAGCTGGAACTAAAAAATAGTGAATCAGTGAAAAATAGTGAAACTTTAAACAATGCATAGTTTTCTGTCTCACTGTTTTGCATCACATTTTGTTAGTGTATTACTCAAAATCTGGTGGATCAATTAAATTTTTCCATAATATGGTTCAAAAGGTATAAAGATTTTTCTAAGACTTTTTAAGTAACTTCCATGTAGACACAGATGAATTAAAAGTGTGCACAAAGTGCACGCACAATAAATAACTACTTATTCAGGTACATATACACTCCATGCCAATCCATAAATCAAATGATAATTGAGTAGCACTCTGCCAGTAATAAACAGAGCTGTATAAACAGACAGTGTCTGGGTTAGACACACCACCTCCCACTGCCATGCCGCTGGCGGTCTGCCGTGTGGTAAACTCAAAAAAACCCAAACACACACACACCTAGAAACAAATACACACAGTGAACAAACAGCAATGCAAAGCCAGAAGCAGAACTCTTTATCTTTTAAATTCACTGATACTGGTGTAAAAACATACAAATGTTATATGATTATGGGAAAAATACACATATGAGAAGCCATGAGATAGCAGTAAAATGTGAAGAATCTTTGCAAAAGTCAACACAATGTAGAGTAAAACCCTAAAACATAAAGATTCTAACAGTGCCACTAATGTCCCTGAAATGAGGCCCAACTAACCTACGTACTTAAAGGAGCAATAAGTGAAATTGTATCACCAGGTGGGGCTGTTGAGCACTGACTGTAGACCAAAACAAGATGTGTGACAAGTGACAATTTTTTCTATCTCCACTTCAGCTCCAAATGCACCCCCAACCGTCGTTATGCAAGGTTAATATCAGCAAAACAGCATCGCCTTTTGGAGGGACATGTCTAGTGAAGAAATTAGAATCTCATAACTTTATAATACTGTTAGCAACAAAATTTTATTTTGGCCATTGATCGTCTTTGGGTAAATTTTTTGATCTACTGGATTTGCTCTCAGTCATAATGCCACTGCGCTGCTGTCTCTGGGCATGGAGGAGCCAACCAGGAGTGGCAACTACTCACATAGACTTGCATGCATGCCCAGCTGGCCCAGCTTACAAACATGAGACTAGAGAACAACACAAAAAGGTGGTGTTTGACTTTATACCGTATTCCATCTAAAAATATACATCTGGCTTTTCAGATCAATATTTTTGTTCTTTCAATCTAAAGAAGTTAATCTTTGCTTATTGCTCCTTTAATTAATAAAATAAATAGGAATGGCAGGAGCCCAAGAGCACACATGAACATGCAGTGTATGAAAATGTGTTTAACAGACACATTGAGTATCTACTTACCCAGGTCTGCAGATGTATTACGGAAACAAGCAATAAGATAAGAAAAATCTAATCATTAATCTGATCAAAACCAGTTCAAAGTATGTATTCAGAGACAAGAATTACGTAAGGGAAGAAAGATGAGTTGGTGGAAGTGGTTTCAAGTGGAAAGAATATACAACCTGAACAGTTTATATCTGATGGTTAAGTCTTATATAAATAAAGCACTTTGTAATGATTTGAGATCTTATAAGATCCGGTCAGCAAGAAGAGGACATCTCTTTGAAGACACCCAAATGGTACATGCACTGGGGTAGTCAGGAAAGTCACTGACTTTTTGAACCTCACCTCTCAAGATCAGTAATTTTCTTCTCCTTGAAAGATTTGTCCACTTCAGCTTCCTTTAGTGCTCCCTTTAGCCTCTCCACCTCAGCCTGGGAGTTCCCAGACTCTTCTCTGTAGCGGACCACTTCCTGCTCGAGAAGTCTCAGACGATCTGCGATGTCTGGACAGATTCTGACAGTTTCTTCTGGGTTTTGGTTCTTTTTTATGTAGGTGTTGTGTAATTGTTGTGAACACGTAAAAAGACAGAGAAATTTTGTCAAATGAATTTAACTAAACAAGTAGTATTAAGCTTAAAATACTGTTCTAGGCAGTACACTTGTTTTTATATTTCTGCATACATTGACGAGAACAGGACAGTTGAAAGAGAATGTATTTGACACAAGCGTTTTTAACAGAAAACCAAACACCTAAAGTAGCACCTAACAAAAGTATTCCCACAATATATGTAATACAACTGTAAAATCTCTTTGCATTCATATTAGGAAATATGTGTGTGTTTAAGTGACATATCAATACGAAGTGGCCCATGATTAAGAAATGGAAAGAAAAAACTAAATTGTCTTTTTAAATGAAAAACAGCGGCATGCATTTATATTCAACCTCTTGACTCAATACTCTGTACGACTAAATACTTTTGCAATTAAAGTAAGAAGCACAAAGTGTTTCATCAGATAAAAACTGCCAAAGATTCAAAAATCTTCAGCCATCAAGGACATGATAACTTCAAAAATGATTTTTAAAAATGATAACTAAAGCTAGACCTTCTTTCTCACTAGCTTTGTATTGAGAAAACCATTTGGATAGCTTGTTGTCAACCATATAGGATTAACAGCTTTTATTTAAATAATATGTTTCTTCTAAGAATATTCCTCAAAGGTCTGAATTTAAGATTGCATTTTTAGTGTGAAGGGTTCACAGATTAATCACCCAGGCCTGTATTTCTTTACAGCTTCTCTAGAGTCCCCATAAGCCTCTTGGATGTTTGCGTTTACTACTCTGGTTACCTCTAGTTTACAGGAGTCCTCTGTGAGACATAAGATCAAGATATTGGTTATGCAACTCAACCATGCTTTAAGTTAAACACCTTAACCCCTGACCTTTCTGTTGTATTCCCTGATCTGCATGGTGCTTTTTGTTCACTAATGTTGTCTATAAGGTCTCCAAGGCCTTCCTATAAAAGCTCCAATTGCAGAGAGAGGGACTGTATCTGTAAATCTATATCTAAATGTAAAAAACTTTCAGAGTTTAAATACTTTTGCCATACCTTACGAGGAGATAAACTTTGATGAAAACTGTCATTTGACTAAATGTACCTTCCCTTTCACTTAGTCCATCAGTATTCTCCTTCAGTTAGCCAGAATATATGTATAATCCTGGAAAAAAGTTCTAGGATGATACCCTTATAGACTAATTTTGAGAATAATTCTACCTGTTAAGAAATCTTGTACAAAGTACAAGATTTCCAGAGTGTATTCTTAAAAAATGTATGAAAATGGGAAAAGATTTTTATGTTTTGTTTTGTTTAGTTTGTTTTTAATATAGCGTGCAGGAGGTCAATCAAAACTTCATTGTGTTCCCAATGCTGTAAAAACTTGTAGAAAAAAATTCATTTAAACCATATATTTTAACATTTTTGTTAACAAAAATTTTCGTCATATTCTGAAACACACTTTTCAGAGCAGTGCGGTGTCAGGCAGGTGGCTGTTGTAAACAAATTGGCGGGTGTGTCTCGGGTCATGGATCCCAAAGGGGGAAAAAAAGGAAGATAGCAAGAACAGAAGATTCAAAGAAGAATTTGCGAATAATTTTTTTTCATTACCAATTTGGAACAATTGCCTGCATGTTTAATTTGTGATGAGAAGTTGTCAAATAATAAAAAGAGTAATTTTGAACGGCATTTCCAGGGAAGACATGCTAAATATGCAGCCGAACACCAAGTTGGGAGTGAGAGAAGAAAAGTGATTTCAGTACTTCTCACTGCATGAAAAGTGGGATTTTCGTCAATATGCGGCACTGTAGATTGTCGTGGAACTTCAGGTTAGCAGCAGTTTACGACAATTTGCAGGCTTCGCCGAAAACTCCCGTAAATTTTCAGAAATTGACGTGGACTCTCTTAGGCAGTGTTCCCCCCATGCCTCCCCCCCATGGAATTCTAGGGGAGGCTTTAACATGTAAATGAACATGCTGTGAGCTATACAAATGCAAATCAGGGTTGCAGGGGGGGTTTTACTCCAAGTGACATTTTTCTAAAAGGTAAGAATATAAAGAGATCAGGCTCAGTATAGCCTCTTACATTTTAGCTTGAATTGATTTATTTAATTAAAGTATAGAGACCAAAACAGATCTTTAGCTGACAGAGCAATACATTTAGAGCAGTAATTATAAAAAAAAAATTGCATTTAAGATAAAAAATAAAATGTTGTCTGTCAATATGCTAAATTCACAATTACTTAAGTGGAAAAGTTTCAAGAAATGGGTCTGAGATGATTCACTTTATAACATGGCGCATTATACTGTTGGAAGTAGCCATGAGAAGATTGGTACACTGTGGTCATAAGGTCCGGCCAGGTCAAGATCCGCAATTGCAATCGCACCAAACAGGAAAAAGAACATCGACAAATTCCGGTTCGTCAAATTAAAATATAGCAGCAACAGATCGGTGACTAGAAATTATAGCACAATTCTTATATATATATATATAAAAAAAAAAAAAAACTAACACCGTTTATTTAAATGATTGGATCCAAACTATTGGTTATTCACCAACGAGGAAGCAGATTTTTCATCTCCATCAAAATATTTATTTTATACCGAGGGACTTAAACTTTAATCAAATCCATTCAAAAGAAACTTCTTATTACAGGAATGAAAAGAGAGGCTGAGTTTGGGAGTAGTGAACAAGTTCATTAAAAAAAAAGCAGTTTTGAATTATCCTTATCCCCGTTACAAAAATCTACAAAAATATATATAGGCTATATATATTTGGGCAGAAACTGAACATATGCTGGATGATGGTGGGATTTTTTTTAATATGTCATATTAAATTAAGCGCTCACAGGGTTCATACAGGAATGAGTGACTCTAATTTAATGCTATTTTAATGCTATTTGAAATGATTTTAATGCCATCAACAAGAACCATGTACACAAGTTATTAGCCTACATGAAATATGAAGGAGCTGTAAGCAGAGTTCCATGACTCCTGTATGTATGTAAACACACACACACACATATATACGTATATATATATCCTCTAGCTTTTTCTCCGCCTGGAGCGATATAATATATCTGACGAAATTGTTTTTATAAGCATTTTTTATTAAAGAATTATAAATACTTCGATAAACATATTTAAATAATTTTAGTGCCAATTAAGGCCTTGATAAAAAAAAAAAAAAAAGAATGATTTTTTAATTATTTTTATTGATCCGCGGACACCCTGGTTCATCTCGCGCATGCTCTGTACGATCTCCAAGAAACTCAGAGCGGCGCGGCTGGATCCACAGTGGAGGATGTATGATTTGCTTTGTGCAGGCGGTCAGGAGCGGAGTATGTGGGATTTCAGGGTAAAACTCCTCTTGGACGCGATGGCGACTCTGCATCGAACAAGACGAACTTAAAGAAGAGATGCTAGCGGTAAATATATGTTCAATTACTGCCTGCTAAGCTAAAAGCAGCCTAGCCCAAGCTACGGCTAATAGCAGCCTAGCCTAAGCTACGGCTAATAGCGGCTAATAGTAGCCTTGCAAGAACAAGCTTTATTAAAGTGTATTTTTTGTGATTCACAGGAAGCAGTACGCCGTCTTCACAACTCGGAGACTAATTGCAGGCGCTTGAACCGGAGCAAGGGTAAGATTTAAAGAATATGCTTTCATTCTGCGGTAAAAGGAAATGGATACCGATCATAGCTGTACATTTTGTTTTCACAGACCTCCTATTTGCTCGGAGCCATATCAGCAAGTCCAGATTTGCACGATGTTGATAAAGACGACATTGTGTGTAAGTGACTTGTTTTAATGTTTTCTCCTTCCTTGTTACTGTGACTTGCGTTTGATTTTTTATTTATACCACTCTCATTTAATTGTTTTCCAGCTGCCTGTAAGACGTATTTTCAGATGGTACGCAGGAGCTTCAGATATACGCAGCCAGCCAACACGCTGAGTGCGGAGGCTATCTGCTCGGAGTCGGGCCAGAAGAAAGAGGGTAAGACTTTATTTGGTGACTATTTTTCAGGTGCATTAATAGATGTGTTGTGTCCATACGCAGTGCGCTGATTCATTGTTTTTTTTTTCAATTGCTGAAAGCGAGGCAGAGTGTGCTAGCAGATGAGGAAGTGGAACTCTGGAAGTCCGCCTTCGTCGGCGGTGTCTCTGGATGGATTGTACGGTCGCCGCCATTTCGTAGGCCGGATCTCACTGAACTCTGTGTTAAGCTGCAGTCCCGGTTAGAAGCGATGCCGAAGTACAGGGCCACGCACAGTAGGCGTCTGCACATCGGACCCGCCTCGGAGGGAATGCTGCCAGTTACCTCCAACCCCGAGGAAGCAAACGGACCGTTCACGGACTTTTAATTTTTAGAAACGCATGTGTTTGGATATGCGTTGTATATAGTTGTGTGTTTTAATAAAGCTCTTTCTTTGCATAAACAGCTTCCTGGCAAATCTTTATTTCCTGTATAAATTCATTCATGTCCTTGATGGTAGCATAAAAATTGTGTAGTAGTGTAGGATAACATAAATACACACCATATGAATGAATAAATATATGAATGAATAAATAAATATATATATATATATATATATATATATATGAATAAATATATATATGTAAATTTATATGTAAATATATATATATATATGCCAACCAATCACGAGCGACTTTACTTGTTTAAAAAGAAGTGGTTCCGTCCAATACTCAGTAAGAAAATTAAAGCCTGGCGTGGCCACATGTGGTTTTGCTGCCAATCACGAGCGATTTCATTTGTTTAAGAATAGTGGTTTCAGCCAATACTGAGAAGGTTATTCAAGCCAGACCTGGCCAGCCGCGCGGGTTTACTGCATTCATATGCTAATTAGGGCCATTAGTACAGCTGATCGCTCTCCACATACGTCAGAGTCCGTTTCCGACAATTTGTGGCACGACAAACGCGGACAAGCACGGGTTGCAAATTGTCGGAAACTGACGAAAATCAGGCAGATCTGCGGGAGTTTACGGGGGTTTACGGGGACGAAAATCTCACTTTTCATGCAGTGTCTGGAGAGATTACAGGAGTGCAAAGAGAGATTTAAGAAATGGATTACATCTCCTAACTCTACTACTGCTACTAGATTTGTTGCAAGAATAGAAAACCGTTCACAGTTCAAATAGGTAGCGCTCTTATGCAGGTATGTGAACGTTCATCCATTTTTTCCCCCAAAACCTCGAAATAAAAATAACACCAAAAATCTGATTTCTTTATTGTGTTTCTATAATTTCATCAATGCAATAAAACCTAATATAATACTATTGCAATGGGATTTAAACTTAAAGCACCAAATATCGTACAGCAGAGTAGTCACATGATGTGACATTTGCACACGATAAACATTTAATCATGAATGCTTATTATATATTTAAGCCTACGTACTGTAGTCCTTTTTTATAGTGGGCTAATACACTTAGGGCCGGATTTATCAAGATCCAATTTTGCGTGCAGTAATTTGCGCTCGCAAACTGGAATTTTGCGCGAGGGGCTGAACCATGGTTTGAGGGTGATTTAACAAGAGCGATTGCGTAACTGGTGGAAGGTGCAAAACTGTTGGAGACGCCCTATTTAAATGATGGTTTTGCGGGTTTTGTGGTTTGCGGCAAAGTAGTTTGTAGTTTGTACAAACTAGTGCATTAAGAAATTTAAATCTTACAGCGACACCCCCACCCCCTCCAAAAAAAAATAAATAAATAAATTATATATACAGGTAAAAGCCAGTAAATTAGAATATTTTAAAAAACTTGATTTATTTCAGTAATTGCATTCAAAAGGTGTAACTTGTACATTATATTTATTCATTGCACACAGACTGATGCATTCAAATGTTTATTTCACTTAATTTTGATGATTTGAAGTGGCAACAAATGAAAATCCAAAATTCCGTGTGTCACAAAATTAGAATATTACTTAAGGCTAATACAAAAAAGGGATTTTTTAGAAATGTTGGCCAACTGAAAAGTACGAAAATGAAAAATATGAGCATGTACAATACTCAATACTTGGTTGGAGCTCCTTTTGCCTCAATTACTGCATTAATGCGGCGTGGCATGGAGTCGATGAGTTTCTGGCACTGCTCAGGTGTTATGAGAGCCCAGGTTGCTCTGATAGTGGCCTTCAACTCTTCTGCGTTTTTGGGTCTGGCATTCTGCATCTTCCTTTTCACAATACCCCACAGATTTTCTATGGGGCTAAGGTCAGGGGAGTTGGCTGGCCAATTTAGAACAGAAATACCATGGTCCGTAAACCAGGCACGGGTAGATTTTGCGCTGTGTGCAGGCGCCAAGTCCTGTTGGAACCTGAAATCTCTATCTCCATAGAGCAGGTCAGCAGCAGGAAGCATGAAGTGCTCTAAAACTTGCTGGTAGACAGCTGCGTTGACCCTGGATCTCAGGAAACAGAGTGGACCGACACCAGCAGATGACATGGCACCCCAAACCATCACTGATGGTGGAAACTTTACACTAGACTTCAGGCAACGTGGATCCTGTGCCTCTCCTGTCTTCCTCCAGACTCTGGGACCTCGATTTCCAAAGGAAATGCAATATTTGCTTTAGTCAGAAAACATGACTTTGGACCACTCAGTAGCAGTCCAGCTCTTTTTTTCCTTAGCCCAGGTGAGACGCTTTTCGCGCTGTTTCTTGGTCAACAGTGGCTTGACACGAGGTATGCGGCAGTTGAAACCCATGTCTTTCAAGCATCTCTTGGTGGTGGATCTTGAAGCACTGACTCCAGCAGCTGTCCACTCCTTTTGAATCTCCCCCACATTTTTGAATGGGTTTTTTTCACAATCTTGACTAGGGCACGGTGATCCCTATCGCTTGTACACTTTTTCTGACCACAGTTTTTCATTCCCTTTGCCTTTCTATTAATGAGTTTGGACACAGAGCTCTGAGAACAGCCAGCCTCTTCAGCAATAACCTTTTGTGTCTTTCCCTCCTTGTGCAATGTGTCGATGGTCGCCTTTTGGACAGCTGTCAAATCTGAAGTCTTGCCCATGTTTGTGTAGGCTTCAGAACTGGACTGAGAGACCATTTAAAGCCCTTTGCAGGTGTTTTGAGTTAATCAGCTGATTAGTTTGTGGCACCAGGTGTCTTCAAAATATAACCCTTACACAATATTCTAATTTTGTGACACACGGAATTTTGGATTTTCATTTGTTGCCACTTCAAATCATCAAAATTAAATGAAATAAACATTTGAATGCACCAGTCTGTGTGCAATGAATAAATATAATGTACAAGTTACACCTTTTGAATGCAATTACTGAAATAAATCAAGTTTTTCAAAATATTCCAATTTACTGGCTTTTACCTGTATATATATATATATATATAAAACTTTGGCAACCTTTATTCCCTAAGGTGGTATGTGGCTGAATTTCTACTTCACTGCAATAAAAAAAAAAAAAAAACAAAAAAAAAAAAAACAGGTGTTTTGTATTGGCCTGTAGAAAAATGCACATACCAAATGGCTCCCAAGAAGTGACTGTGGATAAGATGACTGCGCGTACGCATCCCCGCGGGCATTGGCATGTTGCTCCACAGGCGCAGTGGGGAGGTCGGGGTTCTCAGAGCGACATGGCATTTAGAACGTCAGACAGCACTTCTGAAAAACGAGATTAGGAGTTCCCAGATGCAAAAAAGTGCAATGTTGCAAGGAGTTTTGTGATATATGGTATTGCGTGGGTCCTCCTTGTGGCTGGCTCCAAATCCATTCGGAGTTCCCCCAACAGCTCCAAAATGTCAATGCTGGATAAACGATATGTTTTGATGATCGTTTCCTCGTTCATTCCAAAAATATTCACACGGAGTGAAAAAATGCGTTCTCTACGTCTCCTTGCTTCATTTCGATGTCTCCTTCTTGCGACAATAACCGCTGCCATGTGTGCGCAATTACGCATACAGACCATTTGCACCTTCTTTTAAAACGTGTTAAATATATAGTCAGATACCGTTAGCAAAATTGCTTTCAGGTTTAATAAATCACTTTGCGAGCGCTAAATTAATATATTTTCTCCTCCCACAAGACGCACTTTTGCTTGTAAACGCCCCATATTGCATATTCATTGCAGAAAAAGTACTAAATGGATAAGAGGCGCTATTTAGCACGTTTTAAAGACCAAATCCTTTTAGCACGCTGTTGATGGATCAGTCTGTACATTTTTTAGCGTGCGCAGTGAAATAGCTCACGTTTTTATACACTCAAACCTTTGATAGATCCGGCCCTTAGAGCCCATGTTGCAATACAAGGCTTATATGACTTTTACATTTTTGTGACTCCAGACAGAGTTGATTTTTGTGTTTCTTTGGTCCAATATGGGTTTGAACAGTTTGGATTGCCCTGATATAGGTAAACCAACATAGTCAATAGTACCAAAATAAAAAACAATGAAAACATACCTTAGGGCACATTGGTGGCAGCCCATCCACTTTGGGTTGGGCCTAAAGACAACAGAAAAAATTATATTAAAAATAAATACAAAAATTGTTTTATGAGAACCAGCAAGCCTTTATTATCCTTTAATATTTTATGTGTTGTTATTATTTCATATTTTATTTTATTTTTTGTTTAATTTTTTTTGTGCTTCAATAAAATGCACCAGAACCTATTGTGACCACCACCACACCCCGATACACACACACCCACACACACCCCCACCAGTGTCTTCTTTCACAAGGTTTACTTCAATCATTTGCATCCTCAGGGCAATTTTTCATCTAGAGCTGCGAGTTTAGTTATTAACATTCCAAAATTACTGACTCCCTATAATGTTTTGACTGTGATTTTATGAGAGCACTGCACATCATAGTGTTATTGATTTTTTTGGTCTGGGTACCTCCTTTTTTCTCAACCACACTAAATCGATTCTTCTCTGGGAAAAATATCCCAGAGGTACTTTCTAACCTAAAATTACTCTCCTCTCATCTTGTTCCTTTTCCCCGAAGACTCTACCGTTCCTTGTCAACGGTGTTTGTGAAGATATTTTAACTTGTTGAGACAGCAGAGGCCACTAATTTAAACAAAATCAAGTTAATGTGCACAAACACTTGTATACACAGTCACATTTCACTAACTTCAGAGGACATTATATTGAAAACATTTCCTCATCTAGCCCTGACAAAACATGTTGAAAAATAAATCTTCTGCATATTTGTTGCCCTTATGACTGGTATATTCATTGTTAGTGTTATTATTTTTACATTAGCCTTAAATTGTTATTATCCAACTTTTTGAATAGATTTGATAAGGAATTTAAATAGACGTAACCAAACAAAACAAATTAATTCTCTACAGAGTGTTTATATAGCAAGTTGGTTTTCTCTATAATAAGTCAACTATAAACAAAGGTTAAAAAAGTCCTTGTATAAGTCATTCTTGTAATGCTAGAACATAATTCAGGAAAGAATTAAGAAATGTATTCATTTTATTTTCTGTTAACAGGATTAGTTAGCTATTGTTCAAAGATAAAACCAACTTTCTGGACTTTGCAGTGGAACATTTAAGGATTTTTTTTTCTTTTTTATTTGGATATACTTGGATGAGATGTTTGAGAACATCCTACACTACCTAAAATCTATTAATTTAGACAACTATTCTAATGGGAGAGATATTGTTTTTTTTTTCATGCAAATTAAACTGACAGCTTTAGAGAAGAAATAAACATCAGTAATCTGGTGCTCTTATTTAACTGAGACATAAATACTCAAACATATCAACTAAAACATCTAGCTTTCAGTTTTAATAATAAGAGACTGCAGCTAAATAAGTAACAAAGCCTTACTGTTGCACCAAAAGCCTCTTAAACGCCACTACTCTACAAAAAGGGTCCATACTAAAACATGTTTCTGCCACCTACAATGACTTTATTAACTAACTTGTTAACAATGTTTAGTTTCTGTTTGTTATCAAGATAAACAATTTGTCATAAATGTTAGCTGTTAGTTAAAAAAAATTACAGGTTAGCCCTCAATCTATTTATTTATTTATCAATGAAACTAAAACTATCTATCCATCACTCACCAACTTTTCCATGTATGCATCATGGATGGCACATAGATTAATCCCCCTTTCTTTAGCAACAATCTTTTAAGTCTTATTTAATGACTAATTCAAATACTTAAGTTAATCAATCAACCCATAGTTTTAACCATTTGAATTTGATAGCAAAAAAAAACACTCTTGTATTTTATTTTTTATCGTTCCCCCAGGGGCTTCACTTTAGATAAGTTTTAGACTTCCTTTCTGATTTGGTTTGTGTACTGACTAGGTCATTATAGTGGGGAATCTTAACACAGTGGATAAAAAAGTTCAAAAATGGCATTTGAAAATAGCTGTCCACCTTCAAAAAAGGACTTAAAACCAATCATTGTTGACCACCTATTGTTCCCAGATGGTTGAGTCATGCTTGCAATAACAGTGTTGTTAGAGGGGAGAATTGGACTTGGAGCCTTCAATCAATATAAAAAAAAAAATGGCCAGTTTCTCTTCACAAAATAGCTTCCTTTGATTTGCTCTCAAACCAGCGTTTCACCCTACCCAGAATGAAAACATCTTCATCACTGAAAGAATGACTGCTGGCCTGCAAATTAGTGTAAACCACAGAATCTTGGTCTAATGTCGCTCTTCTGTGCTGGGCCATTCTTTTGACCATTGGCTTCTCTTTTTCCCCCTGGTGTATAACTGGTCAAAGACCTCCTGGAACTTAACAACATCGATAATATTACTCTGTTTGTGCCCCGTTACCAGAACTGTGTTGGGGTTTAACATCCACTGAAGTGTCATGTTTAGAAAATACATGTCTCAGTAAACTCCCAAACATACGGAATGATTACTGGCCTGTTTAGTCTTAAGTTCCTCCTTTTTACCCAATGGCTGGCAAAAGCCATGTTTGAGTTACTTGCCTACTTCGAGGGAAGCCTAGTGATGATAATCACATTGCTCTAGGGCCTGTTTTGTGTTTGAATTCCCCTTCTCCATGGCATCTGAGTTTGTGGGGAGGTTCTCTACTCTGTGATACAGAGTCCTGATGACTTCTAACTTGTGCTCCAGTGGTTGATATAAGTCAGACGGCAAACACTGGTCTGTGTGGGTGAGTTTTGATATAAGCGGCAGCTTGTGTCTTCCATCCAAAACTGATACATCAGTCAAGGAAAGCCAACCTGCCATCTTTTTGCCTCTTCTTGGGAAAACTTCATGTATTTATCCACAAAATTTATGTGCTCAATGAAATGTTGGACTTCCTGAGATTTAACTCTAACCCTGGTGTTATCAACAGAACTGAATCAATGGCTTAGTTGTGTTAAAGATAGACCTCCGTGTGTCTATACCTTGAAGCTTTCTCTCTCCGGTTCTTTTTCCTGGAAAGAGATCACTCGAGACAAACTCTTTAAATAACAGTTCATAACTTATATTTAATAAAAAAACCATGAGACATGGCAACAGATTCTGATACAAATTGTAATCTTACTCAGATCAGAGAAGTTGCTTAGAATTACAGAAGGCAGCTGCTTGTCCCTGGGCTCACTTTTTGGGACTAGGCCCCGATAAACAGTTAAAGAAGCATTATATACATCTCCAGTCTGCCACATCTTCACATTTTACATCATATACATTATTAGATGAGAAGACATCCATGGCTCCAGCCATATCAAAATATTGCAGTTGTTCTTAGCTGAAGGACACCGCTCTCATTCCATTCCCAAATATTTGCCACATACAGAATGAAGATTATAACTGTAATTCCGGACAGAGGAATTGTCTTAATTAGATAAACTATTGTGGAAAAACATCGGTCTAACACACAACAGGCAGCTAATATTAAGGTGTAATAAACTCACACACCATCAATGATAATTATCCTAACAGTTGTCTCTATGGAAACAATGCTAAAACTTTCTTTTCTTCCTCCTCCATGAATAGGTTTGCAATGATAAAAGAAACTGGGAATTCTCATAGTACATCCATCTTTCTGCCTTTTATACAGCTCCCCATATCTGAGGTCAGTTGACTGCAGGCAAAGTTTCAAGAGTTGGCACAGTTCCTCTGTGAAAAAAAATTGGCTGTTTCTTAGTGTGGTGTCTGATTTTATTAAATACACAGACCATGTTAACTAACTCATCCACAGCAACACACCTAAAAAATTATGCAACATCAAAAAAAACACAGTTTCATTCTATTATATTTATCACCTTTCCACAAAGTCAATGTTGCTCTGTTTTGGTGTTCTGAGGAGCCAACGAAAGAACTGAGAACAGATGTCAGATATTTGAAAACATTGTGACAGCCAATCATGTCAGCAATGGTTTTTATAGGTACATCTTGAATTTATATTGTGGATAAACAATAAGGACGAGGAATTGCCTCACCTGTGTATAGTCCGTTGTATACAATACAATAATTAGCTTTATCCTGTTTGAGATTCTTTGGGCACCCTATCAGCTTCTTATTGTTATCAATCCCTTGATCTCTTTTCAGTGATAGTCATGATAGTTTTTCTGGTTCAAATTCAGTATGCTTTCTTCATCTGTTGGAAGGATGATGATGTTACAAACTCAACACTATTCAATTTGTCTACCTGGATAATTGAGATCCATCAGGAATGTTCTTTCTTTTTTATTTGGTTTTGAAAAGCAACCCCTATATTAGTCAATTCCTCAAGCACACTTGTCACTCAAGCAAATTGTTTTGTGCCATGGTCTTAAGGTTGGTTTATGCTCAGAAACCAGGTTGTATGCATATGTCGCAGTGAACGCAGATATGCCCCCATCCTTTCCGCAGACACTCTGGTGCACCTCTCCAAAATTGTAGGTGACTGCAGACAGTACCGCAGACGGGAGGCCTCTGATTGGTCAACTCTAAATCCGCTCTACACTATGCGTATTTCCTGTTTGGTACGAGGTGCACGAGAATGCTGGGACCCTTTTTCCACCTGATCCCTGCTCTAGTATCTAGACCCACAGCTAGTTTGTGATTGACCCTTTTGAATTGTAGCGTGGAATAACATAGCGCAGAACATGCTTCAAAATTGAGCATAAATCAAAAATATCTGCGCCATACCTGCGACAAGCTCACTACAACACACTGCTGCAGGAGTATAACCAGCCCTTTAGAGATAACTTCTTTAAACTATTAGTTTTTTAGTTCTGCCATATATAACATTTTACAAACAGCTTTCATTTTCTAAATATTATTTGTGGATGCCATTTATACATAATGTCTTGTACCTGTTTTTACACATTATTTTTTTGCCAGGTCTATCATAAAGGCAGATTGTTAATCTCACTGGTTACTTTCCTGACTAAATAAAGGATTAATAATAATAAAAATGTTACTTAAGCCTATCAGTCCTCTGAAATAAAACTTTGGAATATATAATATGTCAAAAAAATACAAAAAAACAGCACAAACGTGAGGAAGTAGTGCTTATGCTTTAAACAAAGATCATTTTATTCTACTCTGTTCTTCAATAAAAACTACACAGTTGGGTTATAAAAGTTTTAATGATGTAAATGGGTCACATTAACATAGATTTCTAATGTTGTTTCATCTCTTATCTTTCGATAAGGGGCAATTCCATGTACCAGATGTCAAACAGGAAGTGGAATTTTCTCCCCTGTATTTAATCTATTTCTAAACATCCTGTTTAAGTGGAATTTAGTGTCCAATGTTCACAGCTACATGGAGATTCCCAATGTGTGGTATTTATTATGGCTATGAATAAACTATTTAGCAGTGACTGTATATTGCCTATCACTATGGAAATGAAGGCCAACATTTATCCTGAGGTAAAGGCCAGTCTGTCAACCTCAACTGATCGGTAGGCAACAGAGCCTCTCCTAGGCCACTGCAAACCAGCAAGATCAACAAACATCAATAGATCAACACAAATACCTTCACAGGCACACATAAACAGCTGTTTTGTGCAGACATGCAGGCACAAGCAGAGAAGAAAAAAACCCTTGCACACAAAAACATAAAAAAAATACACAGGCACCATCTGCCTTTATAAATCTCTGCAAGTTTACATAAAAAGTCTGATTGCTGCAAAGCATACATAATAGTCTGATTATGGCAAAACTTCTGTCAAAGTGTAAATCGATTTGCAACAGAGTTGCCGAGCGGCTGTCACTTTTATGTGGTGCCTAATCAACATAAAGCAAGGTATCATTTCGCAGGAATGAGATGTGTGTACTGTTTTAATGGGTATTAAAAAAAAGAGGAAAAAAACATCTCGTAAATTCTGCAAGGACTAGACTCTGTCCAGGCTTGTAAGCTTAGGAAAAGGAATGAAAGACAAGATAAAAAAGTAGCAATGCTTTCAAAATAAAGCTTTAAAAGCTTTAAAACAAGGAAATAGGGATTGTTATCTGTATAAGTCAGCTGCATGTTCTTATCCTCATACTTAAGAGAACATTACACTTGTATGCTTCTCTTTAAAAGAACTACCAATGATGTGTGAATGAATAGTGTTAATACGAGGTGCATGGTTGTTTGTTTGTAGACCACACAGAATAAATAATAAAATAGAGTACATAAACAAGCTCTAATCACCTAAAGTATCATTACATTAGGGTATCTATCTAAGTTTTCGCCTACTGCAAAGTAAGTTTATGTGTTGCACTGTATATATACAACAGTAAATACATTGCTTGGTTTTCTTTTTTATAAATCAAGCAACAGCAATGGCATGGATGCTGTCAGTTCAGTCCTTCTCATCTTCCACATGCCAATAACCTATAGATTATCTGTGGGATAACCTACATATCAAACCAGGTATAAGTCTGGAAGTGTTGGAAGAAGCCTTGTCATGCTGAAAGTTGTGCATAGATCGTCACTTCCACTTAGTCTGTTTGCAGCTGCATCTAGTTTGGAAACATAGTAGGAAACATACGATAACACGAGCAGAAATCATGAGCCTGCCAGTAATGACTAACTATGGAACATTCTCTATGTTCTATGCCAGTCTTGCTACTCACTAGTAGCCTTACTGCAAAAGGAACCTTTATTTGAGAAGTACTAACCTTTAATTCAGTTCCTTTTTATTTTTATCCCAGATATGGGCTAAAAGGTGGATGTGATTTGGTAGGGGTAATACAACTGCACAGCAAATGTCTCCTGATAATAACTGAATGGGATTTACTTTGCTATCATCTTAGGCCTGTTATTTGTCTTGAGCAACTTCTTCTGCTTAACTTTTTAAGACTGAACCCATCTCTCTGAAAACGGCAAGCTTCTTTGATAAATTTCTTTGGACCACAAACAGGGTAACACCTTTTACTGTAATCCACTTGTGAAGGATGCCCAGGGCTGTAAAAAGGGGTTTTTTTTTTTTTTTTTTTTTTTAAGAGTTAAATCAGCAGTCTTACAATATATATTTAATTTCTTTTAGATGCATGTATAGTTTTTACAATCTACAACAACATAGTTAGAAAAGAGATTATTACATTCACTCTGCACTAACCTCTGCATCAGGCTTCTGATTCTGGATTAAGCTGGAGTTAGTGACTTGGCTCTGTGACAGTTTTGGGGGTTGCAGGGCTGCAAGTTTTTCTTTCAATTCCTGGTTCTCCTTCCTCATCTGCTCCATCTCTTCAAGCCTCACCCTGTCTTCTCGTTCCTTTTGGTCCCGGAGGTTCTCAATCACCCGCTCCTAAAATTCAAAGAAAATGTTGTAAAAAACGTACAAAACAAATCATCAATGTAAGGTGGGAACAAAGATTCTATTTTGCTTCCAGAAAAGTATGAATGTCTTACTAAACCAGAACACTAGTAAACTCTAGGTAGTAGTGCCAAAAAGAATCTAACATTTCCTTTTATAAATAATACAGCAATAAAAAGTAACAGTCATGAGAACAGAGCCAAGTAGAACAAAGGAAAACAGGTTAAAAATTTCAGAGAAATAAATATTTATTGAAAAAATATTTGAGGTGTCATTCATTAAGGCTGCGTATGCACAAAACTAGGCCTGAAACTTGCATATGCCACATTCCACGCAAGGGTTCTGATCTATTAACAATAGACCGGGCATTAAAATAAGTGATCCCTTATGCCTATTTTGACAAATGGTAAAGAGTATGCACATTTGGGATGCAGAGGAAGTGGTAATGCAGATGGTGAAGCTGGGATTTATAGACAGATTGCATCAGAATTTCTCTTAAACATTCAATTTCTCTAAGTACACTGGAAAAACGATCTAGAAATAAGTGCAAATTTCTTAAATTAAGTGTATTTACTCTTGATTTGAGAATGAGGTAGTTTGCCAATGGAATCAGTATTTTTACTCTTAAAATAAGATAAATAGATAATATTCACTTGAAAAAAGACAATGTAATTGTGTTTTCCTATTTAAAATCTAAATTGTCTTGATCCATTGGCAAGATGTATCTTTTATCTCCTCAATTCAAGAACAAATGCACTTATTTTAAGAAAAAAAGACTTGTCAAGATGTTGATTTTTTTGTAGTGTATGAAACTGTACTGGTCATTGTAATGACAGATGAGGACTCGTTGCATTATAAAAAGTTCATAAGCCAATTTAAATTCTACATTAAATTGTCTGCAATTTTCTAAAATCACATTCCTGTCCCAGATGATCAATATTGAGAGACATACCAAAAACAAACAAATAAATGTGGGAAAGCATCTCACTGATGACTAAAATAACTGGAGTGTATAATAAGTTGGTCAATGGGTGCAAACATGATGCAAATACAAAATTGCCAAGCAAATACATCTGGACTGTGAAATGTATATTTTTCAATGGGAAAAAAAACACTCCCCTGTTTTATAAAGATTACACCGAAAAGGAAAAAGGTACGCACTGAGAGGTAAGTTGAACAGATAAAGAGCATGCATGCCAGATACCAGTTGTACTGGCCAAATAACAACTCAAATGTATATATATATATATATATATATATATATATAAAGCCTACATATATATACTGCTTGTGTGCAATAAACTTCTCCTATGATCTGAGTCCATCCGCTCCGAGACGCTACTCTCTGAAACACTTGTGGAATGGTGCTTGGCAGGTTTTGTAATGCTAACGCTCCACGGACAATCAACGGCACAAAAAAATGAGACACAAACAAAACAATGGACTAACCGACAACAACAACAACAAAAAACAGATGCCAAGGAAAAGTGCTGCAGTAAATGACTGTTGCAATTACAGAACATAAAGAGCAGCAAGGTGCAAACTTATTGCAAAAATGTTCCAAACATTAAACCTGCTGCAAATGTAGAAGTGATGCTGACACACAAACACAGATTACACATGCAAAAGAAATGAGCCACAAAAAAAAAAAAAAAAAAGTTAAGTTTAGAAATGTTGCAAACTAGCTTCACATATCAGAAGTGCCTCATACTGCTAGGGGGAGACGATCATAATCATAAATAATACCGGACAAGAAAACAGGCTAAAGTCCTTCAGCTTCAGTCCTCCGTATTGTGCATTGGCTCCATGTGTCTGTATCACGTTTCTACAATGCCAGAGCATTCTCCTTATGTTGTAGACAAGATGTACCAGACCAGGGGAGTGGTGGGCTAGTGGTTAGGGAATAGGGCTTTGAATCCTGAGATTGTGAGTTCGATCCCCCACTCCCACAGACTGCCACTCTGGCTCCCTGAGCAAGACCCTTAACCTCACACTGCATTGATGTGCCATCCTGGATAAGCTGCTATATTGATACCTGAGCCACTTGTATGGATTTTAGAGTCTGTCTCATGCTACCATGAGTGAGAGAGCACCACTAAAAAACTCAGCCACAAATCATAAGTGCAGAGAACTGGTCCGTGGTCCCTCTTTCAGAACCAATCATTTATTGTCTAGTTTACGGCCAATAATTTCCCCCTGTCGTCTTATTCCTTTTTCACAAGAGCATTAGAAATTGATTGTCAGTGTGTTTTTTATGTTTTTACTTGATTTTTTTTTAAGCAGTCTACGCAGTGGATATCGTATTTGTGGGTCATTTTAACATTGCTGTTATGCATTTACTGTGATTGCAGCATTTCTCTAATGCAGCATTGCTTGCATTTTGTCTGCGTGTGAATTAGCCTCATTTTAGTGTTTGCTAGTTTAATTTTTGTGTTTACAAGATTATTTCTTCTGTTTGCTCGTCTTCATTGTTAATTTTGCAAGTATGTCAAATTGCAGGTCATGTCCTCTGTAAATCAACATAGCATAATGGTGCCCAATGGATGGATTTGCTTTGCTGGAGCATGTCAAAAATGGGAGAATAGGGAGAGTATTCATGTTTTCAGTGATCATACACATAACTATATATATATATATATATATATATATATATATATATATATATATATATATATATATATATATATATATATATATATAGTGTGTATATATGACTTAGACTTTAATTTGTCTAAGTCTAATATACACTATATTGCCAAAAGTATTTGCTCACCTGCCTTGACTCACATATGAGCTTAAGTGACATCCCGTTCCTAATCCATAGGGTTCAATATGACGTCGGTCCACCCTTTGCAGCTAGAACAGCTTCAACTCTTCTGGGAAGGCTGTCCACAAGGTTTAGGAGTGTGTTTATGGGAATTTTTGACCATTCTTCCAGAAGCGCATTTGTGAGGTCGCACACTGATGTTGGACGAGAAGGCCTGGCTCTCAGTCTCCGCTCTAATTCATCCCAAAGGTGTTCTATCGGGTTGAGGTCAGGACTCTGTGCAGGCCAGTCAAGTTCATCCACACCAGACTCTGTCATCCATGTCTTTATGGACCTTGCTTTGTGCACTGGTGCACAGTCATGTTGGAAGAGGAAGGGGCCAGCTCCAAACTGTTCCCACAAAGTTGGGAGCATGGAATTGTCCAAAATGTCTTGGTATGCTGAAGCATTCAGAGTTCCTTTCACTGGAACTAAGGGGCCAAGCCCAGCTCCTGAAAAACAACCTCACACCATAATCCCCCCTCCACCAAACTTTACACTTGGCACAATGCAGTCAGACAAGTACCGTTCTCCTGGCAACCGCCAAACCCAGACCCGTCCATCAGATTGCCAGATGGAGAAGCGCGATTCGTCACTCCAGAGAACGCGTCTCCACTGCTCTAGAGTCCAGTGGCGGCGTGCTTTACACCACCGCATCCGACGCTTTGCATTGCACTTGGTGATGTATGGCTTGGATGCAGCTGCTCGACCATGGAAACCCATTCCATGAAGCTCTCTGCGCACTGTTCTTGAGCTAATCTGAAGGCCACATGAAGTTTGGAGGTCTGTAGTGATTGACTCTGCAGAAAGTTGGCGACCTCTTCGCACTATGCGCGTCAGCATCCGCTGACCCCGCTCCGTCAGTTTACGTGGCCTACCTCTTCGTGGCTGAGTTGCTGTCGTTCCCAAACACTTCCATTTTCTTATAATACAGCTGACAGTTGACTGTGGAATATTTAGGAGCGAGGAAATTTCACGACTGGATTTGTTGCACAGGTGGCATCCTATCACAGTTCCACGCTGGAATTCACTGAGCTCCTGAGAGCGACCCATTCTTTCACAAATGTTTGTAAAAACAGTCTGCATGCCTAGGTGCTTGAATTTATACACCTGTGGCCATGGAAGTGATTGGAACACCTGATTCCAATAATTTGGATGGGTGAGCAAATACTTTTGGCAATATAGTGTATATAAATGAATAAGTCATGGTACAGCAGTGTAGACTGGATGTGATGGAGACCACTGTTTTTGAAATCCTGGGTGTTTGACTCACATTATTGCTGTGAATATCTCTATTTAAGGGGTTAGAGAAAAAGACCAGTGTGTGTTAATAAAGTATGTCTCAGTGAGCTGTCTTATTTGGATCCTGCAAACAAAATAAATCAAAAACATCACATCTGAGAAAAGTCAACACAAAACACACATCCACTAACACGTAGGGCTAGCTGTAAACACAATGCCCCAGCCTGTTAATTAGAACCACAGTGCTGTGGCCAGCAACTGGCTCCAGGAGCAGGTTTGTGACCGAGTTTGTGATTAGCAACACACACACTTGCCCTTGTAAACACATTACACACACCCTGTGCTGACCTCAAACTCTGAAAAACTTGCCCATGTTCTTCTCGTCACAGTTGAATTATATGTAGGCTGCATCTGAAGTGGTTTTTGGGTAAGGAGAGTGGCTGACGCAGAAAAGGGGTTTACAGTTTATTGCACCATTATGCTGTTCATTTCAAAGTCCATCGGCAACACAAACAAAGGTTAGCAGAGAGAAAAATCCATATGAAAACAGATTTGTGTTGCATCTTCTATTCATTTCAAACAAAGCCAAAACATATAGGCCTACAAGGACATGTTTCTGTAAATAAACCAGAGACTCTTGATTTAGTTGATCCAACTGTAAAATAGCACAGTTTTATAGAAATTTACGTAAAAGCAAAATTAACTATAGTTATTTACTTAACAATATACAATTGAATAATTTGTTCAATTTGTTTCCCACCCTTGTTAGTCTACTTAGAACTAGCATAAAGCCACTCAAAACAGTACAAAAGAATATTACTATATAAACTGTAAAAATAGGCAAAAAGTGCTTAAAGGCAAAGTACAGCAAAACTATGCATTGCACTAACATATTTTAACAACACTGTTCACTGTACTACTAACTTTGAAGAAACAGACTAAC